TTTTCACATAGTAAAAACAGACTGGCCATGCTGTAAACATGTTAGAAAAAGCTAATATTAACTCTTGTGAGTGTGCACTCATATAAACGCTGGTATGGTGTGGATATTTAGGCTACCAGACTGTCATTTAAACGAGCTGCTGATTTAACGGGGATCAGATGTCTGATCAGGCATTTTTTTGGAGGCACACTTATGATCATGCACAGATCCCTATTTTTGCTCTGTCTCCTCACTTCTCCGGCACTCTGCTTGCCATCACACAAGACAACAAATAACTGAAGATGTCATGTTAATGGCAGGGAGCTCTACAGAAGTGCCTGGCCAGCACAGACAACTGAAAGGAAGCTATTTGCTGACAAATGGGATTTGGTGCTGGGCTTGAGCAGCATTAACTGGTGGGTTTTATTGGTTGAAGGAGCACGATATCATGGCGGTTTTCTTCCCTATGTCTCTCCGGCAAAGTGGATGACGTTGCATTTGGTCACGCAAAGGTGCTGAGCACTGTTAAACAGATGGCAGGAGACCAGTGAAGAGAGTGGCAATGGACAGCAGATGGAGAAGAGATCATGCAGGAGACCAGAGAATTGCAGTGTATATACACTACACACTGCAGTACCCGATCCCTCATCACAACCCACTCACGCTTGATGAGGTTATATTCTTGTTTTCCATCATGTGCAACGTTCTGGGTGAGATTTATACATATACTTAAATCTGTATGTTCTCATAAAAGATTAAAGGAGATTTTAATTGAACCCTTCTTATTTCCTATAGAGCCGAGTAATGAAGTGTATTTCTGAAAGGCCGACCCTTTCATAATTGTTGATCTCTTCAGCGCCTCATTATGACCATTCATCCCGTTTCTAAAGCCAACCAGCATGCACTCAATGACAGCTGAACGTGATGCAAAATGTTGCAGAAATAGTAGTTTAAGGTTGAACCAATAGGGGGCACTGTTGTATAGTGAAGCAAGAGGGCAGCGCATGTCATAGTTGAGTTACAGTCTGCGCTGCACTGTCCAGGAAAGTGAGGTTCTGCACAATGTCCTCCCAGCTGGCCTCTCAAACCAGTTTAGAGACAATGCATCAATTCACTTAATTTATTTAGACGGGTGGAAATATGTGTTACTTCATTTATTTTCATTTGATTAGTGTGCGTGTGTTTTTTTAAATCCTGTAATTGTCATTTTCCAGGTCCAGAAAAAAATATCAGCACTGACATCAGCATCATTACCAACGTGAATAATATTACAGTGATATATAAGTAATCATTAAAATGACCTAAATAAAAACTTCAGAGACCTAAATAAGAGCTTCAGGGTTCCTCAAATTAGAAGTTTGTAGAGCACAGCTGCATTATACATTTATTTTAGATAAGTTCTCTTAAATACTTCGTCCTACACTGCATTTTAAAAAGGCCAAAAACTTGCAGAAGGTTTATTGCTACAAAGGATCACACAATACAACCACATTCATAGAATATAAACAGCAAAATAATTTAAATAGCTAATAAATGTAACAGCAGATTGTATCACATGCACAGCAGACATGTTTACTATTAATTACTATTCTATTTCCTATTTATACATTATTTGCATGATAGTCATTCAATCATTCAGTTTTATTTATTGTACCTAATTTATTATGAATTCAATTAAAACAGACAGTTAAAAAATCGTTTGCAGAAGTGCACAGTTTCAGGTTAAAAAAAAAGACTGTGATGTTGAGGAAAATGTGACAAGGGGGTCTTTGAATGACAAACATCCATCCTGAGAGCTGCTGCTTCTGCGGGACAGGATGAGAAACATTGTAGGTGGGGATGTGGGGCCTTCGAAACCACAGCAGGCAGGTAAGAGTCACAGGTTCACCTCCCCCCTGCTCTTACAATGTGGACCTGACATCCTGTTTGCTAGCACGCACACAGCCAGGCAGCACAGAGACACTACACGAACCCAGTCAGCCTCCAGAAGCAGCAGCTCTACGCTCCCTGCAGGACCCTTCATGTGAGTACAGCACGGGTGAGCTCTGGCAGTGGAAAGTAAGGTGACGCCATGTGACGGGATTAATAAAGGTCCAATATGCATCTGAATATGATTTCAGTGATAGCAGATAGCCACAGATCAGGTGCTGAGACACTGGATATACATTAATAGCGCAAAGCCAGGTTGTCATGACACCATGTTATAGCTATTCGATTGAAGTAGAAAGAAAGAGAGAAAGGAAGAAAGGAAGAAATAAAGAACGAACGAAAGAAAGAAAAAACAATTCAATCTGTTAGATTTGAATGTTTCCTTTATTTAGGATTTCGATTTTTCAGTATGAATCTATCATTTATTTGTGTTTATGTTTTTACAATAGTGGTTATAGCCTCAATGAACTCGACATCTACTGATATGTATTTTAAGACATCCACACTATAATATCTCACATTTCACATGAATAATATCGCTTTTTTATATTAAAATCATTATCAGGAAAAATTCTAAATTATTCATACAAAGTCCCAAGTTAATTCCTGGTGTCTTGAATCTTTTGTGCAAACTCCCGATGGCTCTAGTTGTTTCTCAATAATCCAGCTAGTCCTCTCTTCTGTCACTGTGTTATTGGAAGAGGAGTGTCGGCCATTACAGGCTTGGCAGCTGCACTGAGCTGCAACACTGATACTCCGTGGGAGTCAGATTATCATAGAGAATGATGGCGGCTTCGGGGACTCAGAGAAGGGCCAAAGGGCAAGGCACTAACTTTCTGGCTCTGACATTACTCTCACTATAAAGAATACAGTAATAGTATCGCGCAAATTGCTCTGCCTGTAAAATAAAAACCCGAGGCCGCATACAAATGACCTGTAAGTAACATTAAAAAGACTCCATGTGAGATATATAAAAAAAAGCTTTAAAAAAAAGCTCGATTCCCACAGGAAGATGGAAAATATTCTACATCTTTTCTCAGATTTTAATGAATTTCGACAATATAGATTACAGCGACAAATCCAAATTGAATCATTGGTGATTGGATTATAGACCAGCCCAAGAGATTTTTTTTTCTCCAAAAAATCACTGGCTGTTTTAATGGCCTTTTTACAGGGACCAAAAATAAACACAATTTACATTGTTATAAATTTCCAGAGTGAAAGGGATATGTTGAGAAGGGGCCATCATCCGGGCTATAATGTAGAAATGTGGGGGTTTGTGTGTCTTCTAATCTGTCTGCAATTGTTCAGTGTTTTGACAGTGAAAACAGAGGCCTGGGTGATATGAAACCGAATGAAAACCACAAGCATGTTGTGTGCAGAGAGAGTTGTGCAGCGCAAAGAAAATGAAAAGGAGGCTCAGTGAGACTAAACGTCACTGACAAGTCGCTGTGGCTGTTATCTCTAACATCAGGGAATGAGAGGAGGCTGCAGCGCTCATCCCATTATTAAGCAGACTTCACTGTGCATGAATGTGTCAGGAGGGATCCGCTGGACCAAGGACGTGTACAATCTTGTTATTTTTCCACTATTAGTCCAAGAGACGTATAAGTATTTATTTTTTGATATTATTTCCAAGCCTGGATTCCAGAACATTGACGCAGTCTTTTTTAATGACAGAGAATAAGTTGCTATAAATTGCTCTTATAGTCTTTTCTGTCAGAGCCGCAAACACTCGGGTGATAGGGACAAGGGTTGTTATTGCTTGAAGCACCAATAGGCGGCGCTGCAGACTTGTACTCTGTGCAGAGACACAACTGCAGCAGCTGAAGCCTCCTGTCAGTCCTGCTGCACGGAACATTTATGAATTGCATATTTGTGTCCACCAGTCGCTTTGTCATTCATATAAATTATAAGGATGTTAGGTAAAAAATAAAACAACCAAATATGGACCGTTTTGGAATTTCAAAACAGAAATATAAGTTGACTTTTATTGATTTAAATATAGCGAGATACATTTAAATTATAAAGTAAATGTGTGAACAGCCTGTAGAAGTAAAAATGCTTAATTTCTCTGTGTATGGAGAACTTATATTTTTGACTCTGGTGTTTGAAGTCTTAATTATTTTATACTTAAATCTGTGGCCAGAAACTAACCAGAAACTAATTAAAGTGCGCTCTAATTAATTTCATATATTCAAAAAAAATTAATTGCAACTATTAGCCTATACGTGCCATTGGGATTTTTTTATTCAAACAAAAAAAAACGTTCTGATTATGGTTCATACATACATACACCTCAGTATTTCACAGACGATTTTACTGCACACAATTTATCCAACATAATAAAAAGTCAGTTCACTTGTGGAGGCTGTGCTGAAGGATTTGGGTCGTAATAAACCTGTTTAGCTGTAAACAAAACAGGTCAAACTATCCAGACGAGCTGAGTGATGTCTTCATGAAGATGTGATGAAGAAAATGTAATTCATGTGTTTCCACACGAATTAAAGAAAAAGCACGAAAGTGTAAAGAAGAAGAAAAGAGCTGATCATGTGCATGAGAATTCAAAAGGCGTTTACTGTTTGTATTTATTCACCATGCTGCTGATCTCTGGGATGTTTTTATTTGTCAGGAACCTCAGATTTTTTATTCTAACCACCATGAAATGCTACGACTTAATGTGGTTTACCCTCCGTTTTAGCAAACGAGTCAAAATTGGTTTAAATAAAACCTTGTAAGTGGCTCGAGTTTTTTTTTTTTTCCAAAAGCACGTTTTCTAAAGCGTGGAGCCGGAGGAAAAAATGATCAGGGTTTCCTCCTGCGCTTCCAATCGTGTCCCCGAAAAAAGGTATCACACTTGGCTATATGGTGTATGAGAGGTGTCAGTGGAGGCAGGTTGAGCTGCACAGGCTTCTCCGTGGTCTGGAGCCCTAGTTGCTATCCAAACACAAATAAACAGAGGAGGAACATTGGAGTTAATGATAGAGGACGGGGGGTGGAGGCGTGTCGGAGGGCGGGCTGAGCGCTGCGGAGCCCCGGAGCCCTGAAAAGTGAAGGACCGGAGCGCATTACGCACACTTCCAGCCCTCGCTCTGGAGGAGACTCCCACACCGCTGCTGTCTCCCCCTCCAAACTTCTTCGTCTCTTTTCCACAACTTGTCACATCTCTGCAAAGGCTCGAGACATCAGAGTTGGTTGCATGGCTACATGAAAGTTTCGTGGACTTGGAACTTGGAAAACTTTCAGCGGCGCTTTATTGGAGCTCGTCGCCTCTATAGTAACTGTGGATTACTGACATACCGCAGGACCTTTGGCAGCTATTTATTGGGGTAAGATTGTGTTTGGCAGGGTGTGTGTTAGTCTTTTGCAGGGAAGGGGACCAACTTCACTCAGCCCACTTGTTCTAACTTTCTAACTGAGCTGTAAACCAAATATATCAATCTGTCAGTAAACAAAGATGTCAGCATTTCACTGACCAACACTAAATCATATGCTTCTCAGGGTGATTATTGCTTCGTGAGGATCACCAGCTTCGAGGTCATAGTTCACCCACGTTTGGACATCACTGGTGTCTTTTCACAGCACGTAACAGTGCTGAGACAAGCAGTGGCCTTAGACTTGTCACGACTTACAGTAATGTAAAACCCTCTGCCAGAGAAGGGGTTTTGAGGAACACGACAGGGCACTTAGGCTGCTGTCAAAGTGTACATGCAGGTCCAAAGGTTGTTGAGAGAAGAACAGGTTGAACAAAGTTGTGCAGACGCACAAAGAACAGCAAGTGCCTGCATGGTGACTTATGTTGCACCCGTGCAAAATTACACTTATGCCATGCAGGCTACTGTGTGTGAGAGGGAGAGCAGAGTGGAGAGGAGACTTTCATGTCTGTGGAACAAATGTAAGGACATGAACGTACTGTCGCTCACAGGTGAGCACAATACCACAGTCCACACAGTGTCCGGTTCATTAGGCTTTGTTGAAACATTGTGTTTAAATATAAAAACGCTTTTTACTTCAGTTTCCAAGTATAGATAACCTTTAACCCCTTTTCTTATTTTTTAAATCTAAAGGTCAGCTCACTGGTGCACCGCTGGCTCACTGCCAGTCCCGCTTTTACCATCCGGAGTCTTGAATTTACACGATGGATTTTTTTTTTTTCCTCTGTGGGAAAACATAACTTCTCATCCCCACAAACATGGAACCTGTCCCTGCTCATTTCTTGCATTGTCAGCTCATATTGTCCTAAATTGTGGGGACATGGGCAGCTTCTGCTTTTATTTAATACAAACATTAAACTACAGGTTTAAAATGTCCTCAAGTTCCCTTGTCCAGGAGGGCAACCCACAGCATAAAATCAAACAGAGCTAAAAAAGAAAAATACTAGTGCCTATAAAAAAAATTCTGGCTGCACCCACAAACATATAAATAAAAAAAACATGCCTTTCCAGCAAAGATTAAAGTGACTTTCTTGTGGTTAATATAGCCAGCATTTGTTTTGCTCTGACTCATGTCCCTGCTCTTAATAACATATTTGATGTCTGCTGGCAACATTTCAAACTTGTACAAATCGACATAGCCTACAGAGCACTTGTTTTGCATTGTGAAACACCAAGTACAGCCGTCAAATACAACTTGTCTCCTCTAATTGCATTATGTGAGATTTAGTGTTTCATTCAGAGTGAACTAAATGTGTAATTTGCAATGTTAATTGGAGCCATATGAGTCATTTTACACCCACTTCTTTTAGTTACAGTTTCGATGACTGGTGTGTTTCTTAAAATTGCTTTGAAGCGAAAAGAGCAAACATTGTTTTTGTAATAATGCGGAAAATACGAGTTTATATGATCTCAGTGGTTTTGCTGAGCACAAACATGGTTTTACTCATGAGAACATAACAACACGGCAGCATATTAGCTGTTAATTTCCCTAATATTTATTTTTTAATTTAAGTAATTAATGTGTGCCATAATGTGGGTATACACGATTCAAGTTGGACGTTAAATTGATCAATTAAAAAACAAAACCTAAGATTTAGTCTCTGGTAAAATAGTTGTAGAAAGGCAAACAGGTGGTTTTACTAACTGAGGGTCACACGTTGCCTACCCGTGTAGCCACATAATTACCGGCTCTAATGTGGCATAAACACACAACACTCATCTTTTTCTTTCCTCCCCAGGGTTTCCATCGTGTCTTCTGCAGAGGTCTGAGTCGAGATGGGGAGCAAAGCCCTGCACGCTCCGATCCCCCTGCACCCGGCCCTCCAGCTCACAAACTACTCCTTCCTGCAGGCCGTCAACACGTTCCCAGCTGACCAGCTGCAGGGACTGTACGGCCTCAGCGCGGTGCAAACCATGCACATGAACCACTGGACTCTTGGTTACCCGCACATACAAGGACTGAGGTCGACGATCACGGAGATGGCAGCTGCGCAGGGTCTGGTCGACCCCAGGCTTCCCTTCCCAGCGATACCCTTCTCAGCCGCAGCGCAGCTCTTTCATCCAAAACAGGCAGCCGTGGGGCACGGCGTCCCGTCGCTGCACAAGGACAGGCCGAGGTTTGACTTCGCCAACCTGGCCCTCGCTGCCACTCAGGAGGACCCCCCGAAAGCTGCGGATCTGGCGAAGTTGGCGTCGGGGCTAGGGGGAACGATCTCCGAGCTGAGCAAGCTGTCCCCAGAAAGAAAACCCACCCGGGGCAGGCTCCCGTCCAAAACTAAAAAGGAATTTATTTGCAAGTTCTGCGGCAGACATTTCACCAAGTCCTACAACCTCCTCATCCACGAGAGGACCCACACAGACGAACGACCGTATACCTGTGATATTTGCCACAAGGCTTTCCGAAGACAAGACCATCTCCGAGATCACAGGTAAAACAAGTCATACAGATAATGTGTTCATTACGCACGGCGTTAGGGGGGGGGGGGGGGGGGGGGGGGGTCTAAAATTCCCAGCAACATTCCTAAGTGTGCAAGCGATTTAAATGCAAATAATCTTAATTTATTTCTCTAAATTACCTCGTCACAACGGGCAATTAGAAACACATTCTTCATTCTAGACATAGAGACGTGTCAGGTCTGTTCCCAGAGTTTTCTCCATGAGGGCGCCAAAGCACTTTTACGCATAAAGTTGGACAATCACAACGTGCGCAGTGGACATTTTTCGCCCTGTGACTCTGGGGTTTTGTAAAAGCTACAAGCAAATCCGTGCATGAGCAGACATCTGATGAAGTGTTATTTCTGCTTTACAGATACATCCACTCCAAGGAAAAACCATTCAAATGTCAAGAATGTGGGAAAGGATTCTGTCAGTCTCGAACTCTAGCCGTCCATAAAACCTTACATATGCAGGTAAGCTGAAAATATTACCAGTCACCACGATGTTATCCTCACGGAACTATATGATACGTTATGATCATAATTCAACCATTATACACGGTCTTCTGCATGCACGGGGATATTGTTAAGTCTCTCGAAATTCTTAGCCAGTTAACAAATTAAAACAGGAAATTACGCATACAAGTTATATAGAAATTACTGTGTAAATTAGTTATATCTGACACAATCGTGGATTTATTTCTTTTAGTTCTACTCGATGAAAGGGAATAATTCTTTGCTTGCTTTAAATCTAAACAGGAGTCTCCCCACAAATGCCCCACATGCGGAAGAACCTTTAATCAAAGAAGTAACCTGAAAACTCACCTTCTCACCCATACAGACATCAAGCCCTACAGCTGTGGCCGCTGCGGAAAGGTGTTTCGGCGCAACTGTGACTTGCGACGGCACAGTTTGACGCACAGCCCACATCAGGACTACTAGCCTGGACAGACTAACAAAATAACAATGGACAAAAAAGCAGGAAGACAAGTCAGCGACTTCTTCTTTTTCTTCTTCTTGTTTTTTTTCTTTTTTTCCCTTTGGTTCAAAGACAGTCTCCAAATCAGGACACGTTTACTGGCGCACATTTGGAGTTTGGTTGCACATCAAATGGGACAGCAGCGGAGCCATGGCCATTTCCAGCTTTCACACCCACCTGTAAATATCAAGACCATGTACATAATGTTGTTTTTTTATTTTCCTCTCTGGCCTTGAAATTATAAAGTTGTCAAAAAACAGTCATAAGTTTAAAGTATGTTAAATTGTATTTTAGAAATAAATATTTCCATTATACATCTGTGTTTGCTCTGTTTTTATTTCATGCTCTGCATACCTTGCACGTGACACCATCTCATTGAACCACAGATTATATTTAGAATAAACCATTTACTATGATCATCAACTTAATAGTCTTTGAAGCCAGCAGGCAGTGGGAGATTAATGTTGGCCTTTTATTATATGACCAGTATTTATCAGTTGACGTTGCATGAATGACAGCAATGTCCTTAAGGGCGTTTTGGGCTTTTCAAGTCTTTAGAACCTAAAAATAATTTTAATAAGCAAAAAGATGTCTCATATTAAGTGATAATCGATTATAAGAGGTTCATATTTTAAATATAAATGATAAGTAAATAACTTTTAACTCTGCTGCATCATCTGCCACCCACTTTAATGTTTTATATGTCTGAGGTTATTAAGCTCCGTTATTCTTTTTCAATTTCTCGAGCCTACAGAGACTGATGAGTATAAAATTAGCTGCATTAGCAGCAAGGCCACATCACCTCTGATATCATAATGGCTCTGCGGAGCGGCAGCAGCAGCTGGAAGCCTTTTCAAGATGAGACGGGACCGACAGTCTATACAAAACACATTATTGTTGGGGAAATTATCAAGGTTCACTGATTCCTCACTTTCACCACAAACAGAAAAAGGCACCTGTTTTTCTGGTCCCTATAATAACAAATTATTAAATCCATGCCGCTCAGCTGAAGAGTTTTAGTTTGGTGCAACTCACGTATACATATTAACATTGGGACTGCTTTGAGCTATAGTTTGGTTTAAGACTAAATTATTAATCTGCACAGTGGGCGATAATTCACGGGGGAATGTTTAAACAGCAGGCTCAGACAGATTTGTGTTATTAACATTAATGTATAGATTTGTACCCATCTAACCTTTGATCGGTCATCGGAGCAATTGACTCCCAATCGCAGCCTGAATGAGCTGATCTCTAAGTGTGTATAATTGTCATTATCAGTATTATTCGGTGAAGACAGAGTGAAACATCTCCCTCTCACAGCGTTGGCCTTCAGGCCTGTAGTTTCACAATTTCACCACTCGTCACCGGCTGCAGAAAGCTCGTTTAAAAACCTGATTTTCATTTGACAGAAAAATGTACTGGTTGAAAAAATTGCGTTCATTTACTGGATTCTTTCATGGACTTGAAAAATAGTGTCTGTAACAAGTGGTTGCACTCAACATCAAGGCGCACGTTGCTGCTGAAAGGCCATTAAATACGACCAAGTTTATTACGCACTGCAGGCTAGTATTTTCCTAATTAGATTCTAAATGGAAAGACAACAGTGTAAAGTCAGAGCAAAGCAAGCCCATATTTACACAAAGCGAGGGAGTGCATCGTATAAAATAATCACGTTTAATCATCAGAACATATAAATGAATAGCTATCAACGATACAAATACAGAACGATGAATTAGGATATATACGTGATGTAATTATAATAATAACAATAATAATAATGAGTGTTATTATTTTTATTAGCGTTTTTATTTTATTTATTTGAATTTATTTTGTAGATAAATCTGTAATTATATAGCGATGATCTAAATTGATTTGCTAAACAAATTTGGATTCTACTTTTTGTTCTTATAATCTTAAATAAAGGACATTTTGAAGCCTCACAGGATCTCGTAATGCTGGGTGGACTGGACTCTGTAATTCTATCAGGTTTGCATAACTAAAAACATTTCATAGACGGTTTGAAAGGAATCAACCGTCAACAGATTGGACGTGCTCTCACAGAGGAACAGAAATGTTACACAAGTACAAGTCGTTAAGCTGTGATGTGGCTATTTTTTATTATTTGCTGATGCCTCGATGGAGATCTGGACAACGTTGATCTATTATTTAAACTCGAATGTGTATATCTCCATTGGAAATATCTCCATGGAGGCTAAATAATCGAAGTATTGTATGTGTGTTCACAAATTCATGATTATTGAATAGAATATCAATAGAATAAACCACGTGCTCTTTTCTTTTTGTTTTTCATTCAAACGAACCGAAAAACACCAGATTGATCCATTTGTTGAGCACTTTCACACTGTCCTGATAGGAAGACAAGAGAAACAGAGGCAACTCTATCAACTCCATCGACTTCACTATCGACTTTACTCGGCTGGACACCGAGGTGACTTCTAGTTTCTCACACACACACACACACACACACACACACACACACACACACACACACACTGGGCAGAGGGTGGACAGTCACATGGTGACATTGGGAACCTTCATCTGTCTGGTTGCTGCAGGGGAGAAGCTGCACTGACAGTGAATATTAGACATTTCAAACATCGGCACTCGACAAACTAAGACTGGGCGCAGGTGAAGCATCGTAAGACACCAATGGTTAAAGGTTGGATCGAGTTTAGAAACACATATCAAACATACTCCGCTATTCCCAAAGCACCGGGATCGAACGCCGAACCTGTGGTGTCTGCAGGTCCCGGCGCTTCACTGCTCAGATTTGATATGATCTCCACATGACCTTCATCGGCCTGTGACTGACACTTTGTGCTCCACTTCCACTGTCACCATCATTCTGAGAAACCACTTTACTTTTAAACTATCATCCAGTTGTATTTGTTGACTTTTCGTGTGATCTAATTTAATTCAATATTTCAGAGCTACCAAACGACTAAGTGGCATCAGGGTAATTGTATTAAAATGTTTAGTACATGTTTAATAAACCATGTGATTTATGATTGCAAGGCAAAGCACGATCCCCAAACAACAAAAGGGAGACAATTTGTTGTTTCCTTTAACTTCAGCATCCATGTTATTTATATTTAACATTTGCAACACACTGGCTCCTGCTATCAAAGCGTAAAGAACAGGCAGCCCACACACTGACTCGACTCGGTCAGGTGCGAAGTTTATTCGCGTCTGTCTCAGCAAAGGTGAGCGTGCACATCCATGTGCGCGCCAGAGGCAGGAGACGGAACTCACCATTACCACGTGGAGCGATGCGTTCAGGAGCACCTCCTACAGCCTCATCAACACAGGGAGTACGTGTTGTGAACGCTCGATTATAAATACTAAAAAGCCTGACTTTGACAGACATGACACGCGCAGTAATTGAATGTCATTCAGCTGCAATTATGGCTCATGATACCGTTCTGAAGTGAATTAAAAATACGTGATGTGCACCGGATATTTACGTGTTGTTGTTGCGGATTTATCCGAAATCAGCTCTGTAATGATTCTGTCACCCACTCGTGTATCACAAAGAATTGATCGTGTCTCGTGTGCCACTCTTTTGCTCAGTATAAACGTGCACTGGAAGTGAAGTCCAAATTTCCTACAGGACCGAAAGGCAACCCCAGGCATACGGAAGCCGCGATGATGTTGACGCATGACGTTTGAGCTGAAGTTGTAGGAGAGATGTGGCTAATGGTAACGGCACGAATAGCTTCTATTAAAACCTCGAAGTGAAGTAATTGCCACGGGACACAGACGGGAGTGAAGTAAGGAGGTGTTTTTCTATTGTTCCTCGTGGCTGAGTGTTTTATTCAGCCCAAACGAACGAAGTTTGGAGCACTTCTTCTCGGTTAGCTTAGCTTCTTTGCTCTGATGCTACAATGTACACAGTTAGAATGACAGACGAGCATTGCTAGCCTCTCTAGCGTTAACTGGGAGTAAAATACCCCACTACGCAGTATCATATCTTTAGTCCATTTGGTTACTATGATATGCATTTACAGGAGAGAACTGCTGGTAGCTGGATGCTGGAACAGTAGCAAGCAGACCAACTAGGGCACAGCTGTTACTCAAAACCAAACTACTTACAAGAAGAACCACTGGAATTCATTCAATTTATAATCCTAATAGTGGTTAAATGCATATTTCCCTGATATAACATGTATGTTAGGTTTACAGAGATCCTACCTCGTGAGGTTTTGAAGCACAGAAATGTGCACTTCATGCTATAAAACTGTTACATACAATGCAGTGCTGAATTTGAGCTTGAAGCTAATATGTTTGAATTTCAAAAACAATTGTAAAACAGTATATTTAACATAGTAGTGGAAAATGAGGCAATAGTACATTTTGTCTGGTCACAGCTGCCAAGAAGCCCAGATGTACATAGCTTTAATTATGGCTTCATTCCATTTCAAGTGTTCCAATGAATTATGCTCGTAAGGTGGCATGCACTTGCTGAATGAAATGCAGCCTTCATTAATGTTATTACTTTAACCTGCGACCCATGCTATGATGTTTTAGAAATATCTCCCGTGGAAAAATATGAGAACAAACATGCAAAACATCTGCATCTGACCAAAGCTTAAGGAGCAGTGGTGTTTCTTATAAGATGGTAAAAGGAAACAACATGTTGACTCATTGCATAATTTTGTCTAATGTTTGTTTTGTGTTCATGACAGGGGCGAGATGTTGGAGTCCTATGTCACACCGCTCCTTATGAGCTATGTAAACAAGTATATAAAGAATCTGAAGCCATCTGACCTGCAGCTGTCTCTTTGGGGAGGAGATGTGGTGCTCAGCAAGTTAGACCTGAAACTGGATGTACTGGAACAGGTACTGTATACTGAATGTAACCTCTGCTTTTGTTTCTTTTAGGTTATTTTGCAGGACCAAGAGAAAACTCATTGGAATGACAGACATTGCATTTTCCTCTTAGAATGTGGAAAAGTTACAGGGTTACAGAGGGAGGTTGTTACTGTAGCTCTGAGCTCACCATTGCTTTGCAGCTCAATTATTTCATCTTGTTGGTTCTCAGGCACATCAGCTGGTTCCACATTAAACAGCGTAGCAAACATGTTTAGTTCCTTTTTGTTTACATTTCATGCCCTGATAGCGTTGCCCAAATGCTTGAAAGTTGTTTGCATTTGCGCCTCTTTCCAGTTGCACATGCCACATCATGCATGGCTTGCAAACACAATAACTCCTCCCTGCTATCAAACTCTGCACTACCCCCATGTACAGACATGGCTAGTTGGGCATCATTTTTTTATGCTATTCTACTTTTATAATTCCTTGTAGTGTCTTTTAGGGTTTTAGTTTTAATCTGCTACAATATCACTTATCCACTTAATGATTCTTTGTGCCAAACTAACACTTTAGAACAATTTTACTTTGTTTTATTCTAGTGGCTCTGCAGCAGCTAAAAGGCTCCTTCACAATTTTTGCTTCTGACAGAGGTTATAAAGTGGTTATCATTCATGTCTATATTGAAAGAAAGGTGCGTTAGGGTGCTGTCTGAATGAATTGTCTGTCCTATATAGGCTATCTTTATGATAAATTTGAGTTTAAATATCAATCTATTTTTCTCAACAAAGTATTGTGGAAGATTTCACATTTAAAGGTCCAGTGTGTAAAATTTAGGTGAAAGGGAACTATTGGCAGAAATTTAATGTAGAATAATAAATGTTTTCACTAGTTCATTTCATCTAAATTGTATGAATTGTAGTTTTCTTTACCCTAGAAAATACCCTTTATATTTAAATACTTTATATTTACATCAAGCCTCCGTAGAGAGGGTCCCCTCTCTATGGAGGCCGCCATGTTTTTTACATTAGTCCAGACTGGACAAACTAAAACCTTTTGAGTTTTTATGACAATTAAAGGCTTCCACAGTTTCTTTTTCATGTTTGGAAGGAGAGGATGAGGTGGGGGGTGTTCAGCTGCAACATGGAATTTCAACACTAGATAATGTAAAATTCTACACACTGTACCTTTAAAGTCTTCACTTGTATAAAAATATTTTACAAGAAACAGGAAGTATCATTAGTTCCATTAGTGTATTGAGTTACACTGTGGGCTGCAAAGTGAGCACTGCTTTTTTTTGCCAAATTTATGTACATTTTTGAAAATGAAGTTTGCCGAATTAGCTATTAACTACTGTGGCAATGGATAGATGCACCAACTTATCACTGAATTACTTTGATACTGACGAAATCTTGAAAACTTGATCATTCACCTTCCAATTTATGCCAAATAATTAGTCTCATTATTAAGAGAGCCAAACCCGGAAATTAAGTTAAGATCCAAATATCATGCAATATTTTCTTGCAATTATGAAATCTGGAACTTATTATGAGATTTCTTTCATAATTATGAGATACATATTATGCAATAAGGTCTCCAAATGTTTTCTTTTGTAAATGCAATGAGTTTCCATTTAGAAATGATTTGTTAACTTTGGTAAATGTCTGGTTAGCTCCGGATCTTCCCATTTTTTCATTGTTTTTGGCCAGGCCTCCACACCCCCACAGCTAAATTCATGATTTCTTTTTTTGTTTTTGTTCATAAAAACATATGCGTATCCCTGGCGTGGCATCTTCCTTGCTGGTTGCCGTCACTGGGTTGAGCCAAGCAAAGCTTTGAGGTTGTGGCTGTAACACTAGCAAACAGCAGCAAACAGAGAATCTTAAATGTCATTTGGATTTACTCAGATATTTTGCTCTCCAGTCTTATTTTGATACATTGTTCTTTTTACACTTGTAATGTCTGGATTAGATCAATCTACCATGAGTTAAAATCATTTTCTCTTGAGAGGGTTCTGACTGCTTCTGAAGACTAGACCAAAATACTACCCAACCCAAAAGAGATTGTGATGAAAGTTCTTATTGGAAGCAGCTTTAATCCCACCGACAGTGGGAATCGTATGCAGATTTGATGTGTAATGCCATATCAAAATCTTGGCAACTGTCCTCCCTTTGACTTTGTTTTATTGCATTGAATTTGGACAATGCCTCTTTTAAGATGTGCAATTAGAGATTATCTTACTAATAAATTAAATAAATTGTAAATTTGAAATCGTAATGAAACATTATGAGGTTTATTGAGCAGACATACTGTAAATCCATGACAGCTTTTTCTTTTTTTCAGAAATCTGTTTGGTTATTAGTTTTTTGGCTTAGACTTACAGAGGAGGCATATGAAGTCTGTGTGTAGGCAGTCTGGTTTCATGGGACTCGTTCTCACACCAAGTGGTTCAAGATGCTGAACAGTGATTTGTCTGTCCCTGAGAAATCGGACTGATTTTGTTAAAAGCGTGACCTATATGTAATATGCAGCTGATTTTTTTTAATGATCCTCTCATCTTCAAATATTAGTTTAAAAGTACTCTTTAGAAAATGGATGGATAAAGGCTCCAAATAATAAATACTACTTCAGTGGTGACTGAATTACAGATGTAATATTATTGTTGAGATTCTTGTAAGTTATGTGTTTTCATCTTTTTTGTTTCTTTGCAGGAGTTGAAGCTGCCCTTTACATTCATGAGTGGTCATATCCATGAACTGCGTATCCATGTACCCTGGACTAAGCTGGGTTCAGAGCCTGTAGTCATCACGATCAACACCATGGAGTGCATTCTTAAGCTGAGGGATGGAGCACAGGTGAGTTCCTAGCTGGTATGAGAAATAACCTACAGAAATAAAACAGGGCTGGCCAAGTTTTGTAATGGCCTTTGCTTTGAACAACACAAGTTTTTCATCAGTCACCTTACCTATGTATAATGAAATATTGTTCATATTTTTAAAAGACCAAATCTGTTGGTTAAACAAAATCTAATATTTATTTTTTAAGCACAACTGTATCTTAGATCAGCTACACCAGTACAGCTGCCTTTTCTAGTTGCTAGGCAAGGTGCACTCATTTCATATAATATAACAAATTGTTTCTTGACTGAATTATGAAGCTACAATTTCTAGCAACAGAGCTCATTTGTATTATTCATATTTTGCTATCGTATATTATGGTTTATTCTATAGTGTACTACATAGGGTAGGGTATCTTTTATTTCTTTCTGATTCTGGTCCCAGAAATGATTTTTTTTCTTAAAAAATACACAAAATGACATTTGTCAATGAGAGCAGCTTTTTTTACTAAGGCAAATTGGAAGTTGAAATTTAAACATTAAATGTTAACGGTTATAAGCTTATATAAAGCAAATAAGCAAATATAAGTAGATGCACAACTCATACCAAATTTAACGAAATAAAAATGAAACCTAACCTTAAGAAAACTATTTAAAAAATGGTGTTGGCGCTTAATACAGCAGAATACTCCAGCTCCAAACGCATCCTCAACTTTCTCACCACCACTGCTGGCTGATGTGCTTGGCATGGGGTCACACAAGGAGTCAAACACGGTGCATCCCGCTACTTTCAAATGTATCCTGTGCGTTGCCGGGTAATTCATTACGTTTGCTGTGTTCCTTACACAGAATTATAACATATTCAAACATTTGCTGCACGTCCTAGTGTCTGAATCCTTTCAGGTGAAATACAGCCACAGCGTTTAGCATTTGGCAATTTAATGTCATGTCAACTCGAATTTGAGATAGCTACTAGCTAGGGCCATGTAGACAGTGTGTTGCCACCACAGTTGAGTGTTATCTTAAGTAGGCATGTGCAGTGTGGCTTATTTTGCCTGTAAGCAGGGCAACTGCTACATAGCTCAGGCACCAAAATGGGGCACCAAAATCTTCATTGTGATTCGGTCGGGGACGATACTGGCTGTGAAGGAACTGGTGCCTGATGGCATCAGATTTCAGTGCCCAGCCCTAGTATATAGAAGGCACTTCATAGGCAGGGTTTAAAACTTGTTGATTTGACACTGTTAAACAGGAGTTGCTTTTCTCTTTCTTATGCCTGCTTAATTATTCAAGTGAGAATTGTTTTTTTTAAAAGGAGAGCAGAAGAAAATAGTCAATGCCTGATTGAGGCCAAATTATTAATTTATGCCAGGGATGGATTGTAATCTATATTTTCAAAGGCTTCTGGGGGGGGGGGATGTAATGACTGGTTGCAATGAGGAACACATTTTCAAACTTTGGGGATGAAAGTGTTTTGCCGTCCATACTACCAGAATTAAGTATTAGCAAAGGCTCTTGCAATTTATCATGATACGCATCTGCCTTTATTTTGAAACAGATGGATTTCAGCATAAAACATATATCAGTTATTGTCTTGCCCATATTTTTGTCATTTATAAATGGATGGTTCTACTTTGTCAATATGGTTTCCGTTAAGTAAACCACAGTACACCCACTCAGCATATTTGTCCTTTAAAACAGGGACAGCTTCATTGACCACTCACCAGAAATAGTCAGAGAAACTCAAAACTGTAAGGTGACTATTGACTTTGATCAGTGCTATTTACTGCTGCACCATCTTTAACATATTGTTGTTCTGTTTTATTTAATAAGCAGGGAAATGCCATTTAGAGTTTTTGACCTGTAGGAGCACTATGTTTTTTTTAAAATGATTACATATCCTTTTTGTCTGTCAGGCAGAGAATAATTGGAGCACTGTAAGCGAATAAACGCATGTATACAATGTTATATTTCTACTTTTATGACAAATTGGGCTTTATGATGAAGAAAAAACACCCACCATATTTGTAAAACCTCAGTACACACACTGTTTTGTTAGCAGTACAAAATACAGAAACAAAAAAACAGAAACCTATTTGCTTGCAAGGGGAATCCACAGGGCGCCATTTAAGGAAGAGATTTAGTTTTTGTGGATTATCAGTCAGAAATGTCACTTAAGTCCTGTCACACATCATCATGGGCGTAAATCTCAAAACAGTTCTTCCAAGAGAAATATTAAAAATATTTATTCATAAAAACATTTTTGAAGTGTGCTATATGAAAGGCATTTTTTTCTTACATGTAGTTTTGCATTAGAGCCTGGTCCTACCTTTGCCACCCATGTGGTTTGCAAGAATGAGTGTAACTCGGCACTGGCCCTTTATGGAAAGGTTGAGGTTTCAAGGCCAGATGTCCCAGAAGAAACACATTTCGAGGGAAGTCAATTACAGCTAATTACATAGACTGTGGCAAAAAGATTTGTAACACTTGAGCTGCCCAGAACTAATGGTAAATATCAAACTATGCAGGTGGCTACTGGTCATGCGATCAGGTTTCTTGTTCAATGGAAATCTAAACTTTTTTTTATGGTTCATGTGCCAGTGCTGGTGTAATGCATAGTCTCAAAACAGCAGTTTGTTACATATGTTTTTAAAAGACTTCTAGTCAAGAAAAGATTTTTGGTGAATTGCAAATGACATTTGGACAAATAATTTAGCGGCATGTATACCCATGAGACATAATTTGGAGCAATGCCAGACCTACAACAGAAGTCTTTCTAGCATGTGGAATTTAAATGAGCTGCTACACTTCTCTCCTATGTGAGTGGGAGGCTGAAGGCTGACTACTGTGTTCTTGCCAAGAAAATGCTGTCAGTTTTCTGATATAGTTCAGATTTGTGTCATTCAGTAACTTGTTTTGTCTTAATTACACATTCACCATTGTTAGTACATCACAACAACAACAATATTTGTTATGTCATCTCTTTGGTGGCAGTTTCCCTCCCAAAAGAGAATTTCCTTGATTGAAGTGGCCGGTCTATAGTTCTTTGTCACATTAGCTTCACATTAGCTTCACATTGTATTTCTCTGAAAGTTAGATATTTTTCCAATACATGTCAGACCCTGGTCCAAATTGAATCTGATCCTAGCAGTGATGCAGAGAGGTGCATAACTTGGGCAAAGAGAGTTGTCCTTGAAGCACTCAATTAATTTAAGTAATGGCCCATGAGATTTAAAAAGAGATGTGTATTTATGCATGGAAAATGTTACACTCTAAGTTTAGTAGATTACTCGTGTTTTCTTGCCCAGTAGAGACAGGATATTTGGGCCTCATGTGGCCAAAGTGTGGACATGATAAATTATATAATTAATATGGTTTGTTTTCATAATTACTGTTCAAGCCGAAGCCTTGCCTGTAAAAACATCCGTACATCTTTTGAAGTTCATTAAGTGTTGTGTTGTTTGACCCAAATTATTTGGACCTTTTTAAATGTTCGTATTTCTCCTTGAGAGGAACTGGGTAATATTAGTGATATTGACATTGTTTAATAGGGCCCATCTGCAAAGCACCAAGAGCGACTCACAATTATAGTTTCCAGCAAATGTTGAAATTTGGGAGTTCGGCAGCAGTTGGAGATTACAGCTCCTGCTGACAGTGTAATTGCTTGAAATAAGCTGTAATGAAGCTGTAGTGCAGAAAAAAAAAGTCAACTTGTTCTGACATTACTTTTACAAACCAAGGGCCTTAGGCAAACAAATGCATTGTGTCTGTGTGTATGTATGTCTATATATATATATATAAACACACGTGTAGATATGTATATGTCTGATATTACCTGACGTTTAGTCTGTTTACATGTTTTCTTCAGTACAGTCTCTGTTTTCAAACAAGAAACACCTTTGATTCGTTTTTAGATGTAAAATTAAACTGAGCCCTGGTCTGTCTCTAAGAACTATAAAGTATGTGACAAGAGATTGGTCCTGGGAAAAGAGTTTTGGAGTTGTCAACTTAATTTCTTTCTGATGTGCAAAGATGCACTTTTTGGCCCCTTGGAAATGGTTCATCAAGTGAATTAACAGTTTGATCTATATGCACGCCCTGTATTGAAATTGGAGTTATTAATTGAACATATGGTCTCCATCTAGTATCTTATTTGCCCCATGGAAATCTCATGGAACGAGTTAGCAATTTTCAGTTTTACCAGCTTCACACTAAACTGTTCACATTCGTGACAGATTCTCTGTGTATTTGGTATTTTCTTCATCAGGTTGTGTTGTCATTTTAATGTTTTCTATTAGATGTGGTGGACTGGAGCTGGTATGTGATATTGAACATTTGGTTTAAAGCATTAGTGCCCTCAAGCTTCAATCTATAATGATGAGATGGATAAAACCTTTGGTCGGAGGTAGAATTAATTCTGTGGCTGTTTTATGAATTCTGCTCTTGTATTTGTAGCTAGTTGTAGCAGTAACAGAAATTGGCAAGACTGAACTCAGGCTTTAATGAAAGACCTAACAGCTAACATTGATGTAATGTTGCAAAATTACGGGCACATTTTCTTTTCTTCTTGACATCTTGGTAAACTGATCCAGATGTTGAGGATGAGGTGTGATCAGCAAAGACAGAGAGGAACTGGCTGGATAACGGTTTCAGTGGATCATAACACTCTCAAGCACTCTTTCTTTTTTATGAGACAAAGATAAGGGCTTGGGTTTACAGAGGAGAGACTTTCTGGTTTTGGCTCGGCCCGCTGCTTGATCTGGGAGTTTTATGGCTGCTGAGTGCATTTGCCACTGATGTGGAGGTTCTGATTGATGCATTGCCTCAAGATGATTTGGGGAGGTGCCTCTGAGACTTCTTGGTTTGGCATATGGTCCAGCTAGGCCTTTTCTTCTGTTAGATTCCTTCCAAACTATTTTTAGGACTTTACATGACTAAACTTCATTGCTCCTAAATAATGGGTAATACGTGAATGACTTACTAAAAAACGTATTCAGTATACTGGATATTGATCTGCTC